CTGTGTACAGATATGCATTTTATTATTGACTGTAAAGCACTTTGGAAAAGCTGTTTTGAAAAGTGTACATACTGTAATAATTTTAGTACAGTCCCTTAAAGTCTGAGGAGTTCTTGTGTTCTCATTTTTTATTGTTTTAAGTTATATTTATCATCCTATAGGAATATTTCATGGCAATAAATGTTTAATGTGCTGAAAAGAAGTCCTATATTTGACCTAACCGCTTGAGAAAATCTTTTAACAAATCATGAATTGCTCGTTTTAGTCGGTAGTCTGCTGGCAAAATACTGCTTTTAGTCACTTAAGGAATTTCAGACTAAGCTAAAATGTGCATAAACCCCTGCAAAAAATTAAAATAACATATAATACAGGCTATGGTTCTAGTGCCAGCTCCGCTTCCCCACTGAGCAGGCAGGTAGCACACCTGGCCAGCACCTGTGTCCTCCCCCGTGCAGCTGTGGGACTCACCGCTGTTGGCTCGCTTTCCTCTCCGTCCAGGTCCAACGCGGCAGCAGCAGCAGCAGCAGCAGCAGAGAGAGATAAGGCTTTGTGGTGCCCGCTGACAGCTGGCTCACTCTTATATACACCGGGGTGGATGCACCGAAGGATGCTTGAGTTTCCAACCTGTCTGCGGATCAAGTTTTCTCGCAACCCGCCGCCTCCTTCTCGTGTTCCTCACCTGCCCAATTAACCTTCACTGTTTTATATCCGCTACTCGCTGCTCTGTCTCTCTACTTCACTGTCATAAAACTGTGGGTTTGGTCCAATCAACTTTTCCCCCTGTGATACATTTCTCTCTCCTCTCTCCCTTCCCTCCTCTCCATCCCCCCACCTCTCTGCAGGTGCATGTGTGCAAGCTTACGGACATCTCAAATTTAATCAGGCCCCTTTTCTCTCTTTGGTTTTAGTGAATAATCTCCTAAATTCAGACAAACATAGAGCAGCAGGTCACATCATCTCAGCAGGCAAGGGATTGTTATCCTCATCTTACATCACACTGATATTTCAAGCTTTGTCAGTAAAAGATAGGGACTCGAAACCGCACTGTCTGGCTGTTTGGGGTGTATTTTATTTACCCATAAGCCTGATTAACAGGTTAAAAGAGAACTGTGGTGTAAATTTGACTTTAGCTGAAGTGAATCTTGTGTTTTAACAAAGAAACAATGCAGTATCCTATTACCAGTCTCTATCAGATTGTCATCAGAGGGGGAGGAAGTTGGAAAAAAGGGAAATATTTTATGGAATATGATCCTGAGCAGAACCGTCTCTCCAAAAACACAATAGTGTGTCATCAAAAATCTACTTCTGTGACAGTAGAAGATATATAAACACACAAAAACAAGATTTTCAGTCAAAATAATACCAGAAATATTTGACTTTTTTAACTCATATCATTCACTTATGTGTAACACAGGTTAGATGCTTGGTCAGTTTTGAGTATTATGATGCGTTTTAACTATGCGTGGTTTTTAGGGGTTTTTTAAGGTTTGCACCTGGTCACCATGACAACAGGCCACTCTAAACTGATGAGTTTGTTGTCTGTGAAGGGAAGCCTCTCAAACAATCTGACACAGCAGCGTCTCCTGTGAATCCAGTCAGCACTAATGGCATTAGCAGAGAAAGGGGAGGGATGCTTTTTTGTAACGAGAACCAAGGGAATAAATCTCATTATTCTCAAAAGTGTCTCAAGCTGTGAAGCTCTGACTTCACACTTTGTGAGTGAGAGCGTTTTCTGTCTCAGAGCCACTTGTTATACTAAAAAAACAAGCTATTAAGGCCTAAGTCATGTGAAGCTCAGGAAACAAATATAGCGTATTTCCATGCCTATAAGTTTGCAATATAAAACCATCAAACATCTGAAACCCTTGTGACTTACTGACAGATTACAGGCGCCATCTTGTGGCTGCTTCCCCTCAACGCAGAGCCATCTTGGGGCATGACCTGAGGAGGAGTTAAACCTTCACCGCCACCTCATACTGTATGAGATGAGAGCTGGATTAACATACAGGGCAGGAGTCGGGTGCATGTGAGTGTGTTTGTGTCTATTTTAAGAGATTACATTTTGTGTTCTTTATTACATCATCACATCTGGATTAGACTTCCAACAATAGTCCCTGTTTATAACGTGAAAGGCAACTTTTAAGGTGAGACTGACTTTTTTAAAGAAGAAGCAACACAATCTTCCTCTTACAAATGAAAAGTTGAATTCATAAGAAATGAAATGCACCATTGGTCAATTTAGCACTCTCAGGGGTTTTGCTGCTATGGCCTTGCTGCTATGTATAAAGAGAACTGAACACTGCATTGGAGGCAGGCCCTCATTGATTCAAGTCCTCAGTTGCATATGAGGCTAAAAAAGTCTGACTTTCTGGGTGTAAAATTACCCAGATCTCCCGCATCGTGGGGTTCATGCATAGACTGTAAAAATATTGGTTGTACCTATTGTGATGTCACCCATTAGTTAGCGGACTCCCATTTTGAAGCCTCCAATTCAGCTTTTGGCCGTCGCCATCTTGGCTTTTTGGAGCCAGAAGCGACCATATTTGGCCAAGAGGCTGGCGCTGTGGAAGAGCGAGGGGTGGATCTGACTGAGAAGCCGAGGACACTATTGGCTGACAGCCTGTCACTCGAAACACACCACCCTTAATTATGGGTAACTTTAAAAATGTAAACAGGTGATTTGTATAAAAATTGTACAGTTTTCATGAAGTGAGGCGGGAAAAGAGAAAATAGCTATTTGAACGAGGCTGCTGGAAACATACAGTACAGGCCAAAAGTTTGGACACACCTTCTCATTCAATGTGTTTTCTTTATTTTCATGACTATTTACATTGTAGATTCTCACTGAAGGCATCAAAACTATGAATGAACACATGTGGAGTTATGTACTTAACAAAAAAAGGTGAAATAACTGAAAACATGTTTTATATTCTAGTTTCTTCAAAATAGCCACCCTTTGCTCTGATTACTGCTTTGCACACTCTTGGCATTCTCTCCATGAGCTTCAAGAGGTAGTCACCTGAAATGGTTTTCCAACAGTCTTGAAGGAGTTCCCAGAGGTGTTTAGCACTTGTTGGCCCCTTTGCCTTCACTCTGCGGTCCAGCTC